GGACTTCTGCTGCTGGCAAGTTTTCAACCTGATCGGACCATGGGTTGAGGATGTAGGGTTTAGGGTGTAGGGTTTAGGGTGTAGGGTTTAGGGTTTAGGGTGTAGGGTTTAGGGTCTAGGGTTTAGAGTGTAGGGTTCAGGGTTCAGGGGATATACGGGTTCCTGCAAAAGGAGTCTATACGAAGGGTTGTCGAAGAAGGGCGGCGTTTAGGGCTTTGGGGCGGTGGAGTTCAGGCCTAAGGGCTTCGGGCTCCCGGTTCCATGATTTCAGTGAGTCTAGGTCGGGCTGACCGTTTCGGGAGCATGTAGTCCTCAGCCTTAAATTATTAAACCCTAAACCCTAAACCCTAAACCCTGAACCCTAAACCCTAAGCCCGAAGCCCTAAGCCCTAAACCCTAAACCCGACTGGAGTTTTTGGGTCCCTGGTTCTCAAGCTCTCTGCACCCCTTTGGCCAACCTCAAAGCTTTCTTTCTACAATGGCCCCAGATCTCGAACCCTGTAAGTTATAAGGGGTCTGCTTCGAGCCGCTTGGAATGGTGTCGAGTTGCTGCAGGGCTTGGGGGTTTATGCTTTGGGGTGTCGGCTTTCGGGTTTAGGGCTACTTTTTTTCTGCTTAGGGTTTTCGGTTGAGGGCTCGGGGTTTGGGGTCTTAAGCAATGGCCTGGAATAGCGCTCAGGCGAAAGTGGTTTGTGATGCATCGTATCATGGCGTTTCTTTTGAGGGCAGCCCGGAGCGGGTGAAACCTGTTGAACCTCTTGCAAGAACCCTCCACACCCTGGAAGAAGTCCTTTTAACCCTAAGCCCTAAACCTTAAACCACAAACCCTAAACCCTAAACCCTAAACCCTAAACCCCAAACCCCAAACCCTAAATCCAAACCCCAAACCCTAAACCCCAAACCCTAAATCCTAAACCCTAAACCCTAAACGCTTTAAGCAAGCCCCAGTGATAGACGACACCCGAAGCTCCCGGCGCTGCCGAGGCTTCCTCGCCGGCTCTGTTGCGATTTGATGTGGGAGCCCCGAGGCTCGTGGAGGGTTCCGATCTAAGGGTTTAGGGTTTAGGGTTTAGGGTTTAGGATTTAGGGTTTAGGGTTTAGGGGTTAGGGGTTTAGGGTTTAGGGTTTAGGGTTTAGGGTTTACGGTTTAGGGTTTAGGGCGCTCCCCGAAGGGTTGCATTTTAGGGGGTTCCTTCGAAGGATACACCGGGGGTTCCGTTAAGGGTTCTAAGTCTAGGACATTTTCAAGTGGGTAGTTACCGTTATAGAAGCCTTATAGAAGCCCTATAAATCCTAAACTCCCCACCTATAGTTTCCTTTAACTAAGGGTACTAATAGAGGTTTAGCGTTTTGGTGTCTGGGGTTTCGAAGTTTCGGGGTGTTGGGGTTCGGTTTTTTGGGGTTTCGGGGCTTGGGGGGTTTAAGGTTTCATCATGCCAGAGCTTAGGTTCAGGGTTTAGGGTTTAGGGTTTTTAGTTTAGGGTTTAGGGTTTAGGGTTTAGAGTTTAGGGTTTAGGGTTTAGGGTTTAGGGGCTTAGGGTTTAGGTGTTTAGGTTTTAACGGCTCAGACGTTTTGGTTTGGGTTTGGGTGTTTGGGGTTAGTAGGCCTCAACCCTACACCCCAAACTCGACACCCGATTTCCTGAACTCTGCACTCTCAACTTTAAGACCCTCGTCACTAAACTGCTCTGCTACTGATACTCCTCCTTCCTCCTGCTCCTGCTCGTAGTGGCAACTGGTACCGCTACTACCGCTACTTCTAAGCCTGGTTCAGGCCACGCTACATCGGCAGTGCTTCTGAGTTGGAGCAGAAGGCGGGCTGTAAGGGCGTCTGAAGCGCAAGCTACCGTAAGAGTGGTTATCCATATGCTTTCAGTATCATCATATCTTAAACTAGGTCCTTGGACGAAAAATGCATTTGAGACCCGAACCGTAAAAATGCGCCCTGAACCCTCTTACGGTGTGTAAGGTTTACGGGCTGCAAGCCTTTGCTTTCTTGGGTCGGCATCCCATTACAAGTCTTCCCTTCCCAAAAAACAGAAAGGGGTTGCAAACAAACCGGGAAGTCTGAAGCCTAAACCTTAAGCCGTAAATTCAGAGCCCAGCGCATCTAAGCGCTGAAAAATAATTCTAAACCCTAAACCCATCTAAACCCCGAGCCGTAATTCAGACTCTAAACCCCAAACCGAAAAATCAAAACCTTGAGCCCGGAAACTTTAAACCTCAGCCCCAGTCTAAAAGGCATTAACCCCAACCCATGAGCCGTCTTATACCAGCTTGAAGCGGGAAGCACTGGTTTCGCTGCAGTAGCCATGCTCCGTAAATGCCAGCAGTTGTGGATCTGTGTGGCTACGTATGTCCTTGTTGTAGCACAGTTCAATGCTTGAGGCATTGCTGTGCGTAGAGAAGATATCGCCGGTTACGTCTGAAGAAGCAGGGTGATGGTCCCCATACCTCATTTCCGAACGTTGATTAGCGAGCTGTCACATGCCTTGACCGGTCGTATTCGCCTTCATTAAGCGAATACGTCTAGTCGATCATCTTACAAACCATCATGCAAGCACAATACCCTAAACCCTAAACCCTAAATCCTAAACCCTAAACCCTACACCCTAAACCCTAAACCCTAAACCCTAATCGGCCCCTAAAGTCCTTCAGGAGGATGGTTCCTGTGGGGGCGCCCAGCTATGCTTGGCTTCTTCTGGTCGGGAGTGGGATGTAGGTGCTTCATGTGAAGCAGAATAGTACGTTGAATAGGGTTTTGGGGCCCATTATACGATAATTATAGTAATCAAGGAACCCCCCAAAATAGTTCTGGTAATAGAGTAGTATGTTGCGTTTTGGGGTTTCACCGTTTGTTGCCGGGGTCTTTCCCAGCAGCGATGCGGTGTTGACGTGTTTTGCAGGGCTAGGGTTGGGGTTGGGGTTAGGGTTTTGGGGTTTTGGGGTTTGGGGTTTAGGGTTTAGGGTTTAGGGTTTAGGGTTTAGGGTTTAGGGATGGGTTAGGGTTTTGGGGTTTAGGATTTGGCAGCTGGGTGACGTCGGGGCACGGTCTTGGTCTTTATGCAACATGTGGAAGGCTGAGCGAATGTTCCACGGGCTTAAATCCAAAGGAGGCTTTTCGTATTCTTCGTGAGCACTCTGACACCCAGTGGTGGACTGGGAAACGGGGCATTGCTACAGTACTGCGCCGCATACGTGCCAAGTACGGAGAAGCCGGGGATGCAATGGCCCTCACTGAGGGTGGCAACGCCTCGAGTCAACTCCTGCAGCTCCTGAGTGGGTGGAAAGCTGCCGAAGCGGAAATGACCATGGAGCTGGCGCGGGAACCGAGCAACTTCCTCGCCGTGGAGTACCGTCCTGTCGTGGAAATTACGTGGAGCCTGAAGACAAGCACCTGCGCCTGTACCACCACGAGGCCGACCCGGGAGGAGAGGATTTCTTTCTTGGATGGCTCCGCCTCCATACCGTGTCTGGGTCTCCCCCATACAGTGCCTAGGTCTCCCAGTGTGACCCTCTTCTTCCTTTTTGTGATCTTAAGTTCCGTATAAAACTACCCAACACCAAAAGGGAACCCTTTTCGATTCCTAGGCTGGCAGAACCTCAAAACCATACAGCTGAAGCTCCAAAGGCCTGGAATCCTGGAGCCATTGACCCGATGCTGTTATTCATAAATCCCTAATTTCCTATAATCCAAGGCCTAATCTAAGCTTCTAAGCCCTATATAAGCCCTGAATCCTTAGCATCCCAGGCCCTAAAACCCGTCATCTCATCTCCTGACCCTTCATCCTCATTGGTCCTAAACGCTACGTGGGTGGTTGTCAAAATTAGGGTCCCTTTTTGGGTCCTTATTATAATACGGCACCTATTATTTAGGGTACCCCAAAAGGGACCATAATTTTGACAACTACCCACATCGCAAAAGCTCCGCTTCAGGGATCCTGAGTTTGCCCGGGGACGCCTTCGTGGGTCGCGAAGCGACGCCCGAGGCCAGGACGGGGGATCCTTTCTTGGTGCGCTTGCTGGGCTGTTACAGTAAAGGATTTTCCCGTGGGGGAGGTTTAGGCTGTAGAGTTTTTGGATTGAAACCCTAAACCCTAAACCCTAAACACCAAACCCTAAACCCAAAAGCCATACACCTGAAACGGGTGGGAGTTGGCAATCATTTGGCAATGCTGGGATAGAGGATGAAGGGGTGCTGTTGGATTGGATTTAGAGGTAGGGCGTGGGGTCAGTTCTGTTTTTTTTTGGATTGTCGGTAGGGATTTTGTTTTTTATGGTTCAGAGTTTTTTGTGAACAGTTTCGGGCTTATGTTCAAAGTTTAGGATTGCGGCTGAAGGGTTTTGGGTGCCTACTTGGAATTTCCTGCTTCGGCCTCAAACCCAAATTTCACCCACTGACCCCCGACGACCAACAGTTCTATAACCTTTGCCCCATGCCTCCTAAACCCTAAACCCCAAAACCCCCAAACCCCTAAACCCCTAAACCCTAAACCCCTAAACCCTAAACCCCTAAACCCTAAACCCCTAAACCTAAAACCCTCGACCCTAAACTCTAAACCCCCAGACCCTAAACTAACCCTAAACTCTAAATCCT